TTTACCAATAACAATCCATGAACAAATTGCATCAGCGTGTTTAATATATACGAAATATATAGTCACAATTATCAATAAAATTAATAACTTCAATTTCTCTTTGTAAACAATGAAAATATATTTTAATTAAATGCATGAATAATATGCTTTTTGTTTCAGATATGGCTAAATCGAAAAACAAGATCCTGCTTGCATCAATTGTTGTAACACTGGTATTAGTGATATCGAAATTCCAAACATACATATCACCATGTAGTCAATTGTTATATTCAAATGGAAATCAACTGCAAACTGCTTACAAATTTCCCGATGTATCCAAAGAGCAATATAAAGACAAGCTTTTCCAAAGTCTCAACTTCAGCTTAGAAGAGTTTTATGCTACGGATCTCACTACATACCCAGAGCAGGCTAATAAACTCTCTCCCCTGTTGACAAATAGAGCAGATGTCATTGCCGAAGCTCAGAGAATTCATATGAACATATTTAGTACTCTTCTAAAGGGATATAAATATGCAATGTTGTTCGATTATTCTCCATCAGAAAATAAAGGTGATGCTGCAATTGTTGTCGGTGAAGCAACTCTGTTGAGAAGGTTTAATATAGATGTTGTATTTGCTTGTTCAACCGGACATTGTAGAAAACATTTAAATAACGCAGAGAAATTAAGTAAGAACTACAAAACTACCGAACTTGTGATTCTTTTGCATGGGGGTGGTAACATAATAGGATATCATGCCGAGGATAAGCGGAGATTTGAAGAAATTCCACATTTCGAAAAATTCAATATAATCATGTTTCCACAGAGTATTTTTCACCGAGGAGATACCGAACATATTGAGTTATGCAAAAAAGTATATTCATCCCACCCTAGTTTAACGTTCATATGGAGGGATTCTGTATCGTACAAATTAGGTAAAACATTGTTCCCGGACGTTCGATCTTTGCTTTCCCCAGATATTGCCTTTCAAATAGGACAAGTCAAACGATTTATGGATCCGACTCAAGACATACTTTGGATAAAACGAACCGATGCTGAAACACCTGTCTACAAGGCGCCAAAATCTGCAGGAATTTACAGCATGCATGTAGCAGATTGGTTTCAGTGGAAAACGCCAAAAGGTACTTCCCCAATGGAAGACTCATATTTGAAGACAGCTAATGGCATGATGTTCCTCTCGAGGGGAAGAGTTGTTGTAACAGATCGTCTTCATGGATTAATAATAAGTACACTTTTGAATATTCCTCTTGTATTCATTGATAATAAGCAGCAAAAATTATCAAATTATCATAATACATGGACGCATAGTCTTGAAAATTTAATAATGGCTACTTCTAGCGAGGACGCAGTTGTTCAGGCAAAACACCTTCTTAAAAAACTTGATAAAGAATTGCCTCTAATTACAGGATATTACAACAATACTGGTTATTAGAATGTATTATCATATCATTTTTATTTTAAAATTGAAAATTCTGTGAGAGATCGCCAAAACACCCGCAATATATAACAACATTACTTAGGCGTATCTACTGACATTTAATGTATGAATTGACATGATGTTTATGTTAAGGTAAAATGCTGAAACAGAAAATTGCAATTAATACTGAAATGTTTGTTATCTTTATAAGCATTGCTATTTTTACATTCACTTTGTTGTTTATGATTTTATGGTTTTATCATCTGACTAATCATTGTTATGTATGCAACATATTACATGTATATAATTTATATCTGACCAGTTGGTATTTCCAATATTATCATTGTTCTATTTTTAGAACATAAACTACATGTATGTACTAGAAGGTTCTTACCTGTTGTAGAAAAACTCATGCATTATATTTAGATAGAAACTTCTGGAATGATCTTTATTGTTGAAGTTGCTAGATTATGATTACTTTTAGAACATAATAGACCTTTCTGGAAACTTCTTTAGTTAATATATATAAAGGAGACATTTTTCATTAATCTTATCTTTAACAAGTCATCAGTTACCTTTTAGTCATCAGTAATCTTTTAAAGTCATCAATATATTTGGAGTATTATTCAACTTGGAAATTAAGTGATTTATTGGAGCTTGGATTATTAATTATTCTTGTGGATTTTATTGGTGGGAAATTTATTCTAAAGTGTCTTGGATTTAACTGGATTTAACTGTGCTATTCAAAAAGGATCATTCCAGGATCAGACTAGACATTAGATTTTACATTTTATATTTGACTTCAGGTATTTGTAAAACACAATTTGTTATTTTATTTTTCTTTAATAATTTTTCTGTAATTAAATTTGTTATTGTTACAAGTTTGTTGCTGGCTTTTCTTTCTCGTTACGCCTGGCTCGTAACAGAAATTGGGGGCTCGTCCGGGATTTGAATATTTCTTTTTGGCTACATTATTGGAAATTATTACCGTTTATTTTACATTTTATTATTACCGTATTTACTCATCTGAGTTGATATCATAGTTGTTCTATTAAGTGTACCTTTCCATTTTGAAATTTTTAAATGAAACACATCACTTTCTGAGTTTAAAACCAGCAGCAAGCAGTCATGTCTTTTAATTTAGAAAAGTTTGTAGCTGAACCTTCCCAGGAGGTATTAGATTTGGCTAAAAAAAACTGATTTGCTTGATCTTGCAAAAAAGTATAATTTATCAGAAATTAAAATCTTCAATGCGTAAACATTAGAAATTAAAAATCTTCTGATTTCATTATTTTGTGGTGAAGATATATTTTTGGACAAAGATGCACTTTCTCTGATTGTTGAAACAAACCCAGAAATTAAGAATAAAAGAGCTTGAACTTCAATTTAAATTTGAACTAGAAAAAATGCAATTAGAAAAAGAAAGGGAAGAAAGGCAGTTACAGTTAGAAAAAGAAAGGGAAGAAAGACAGTTAGAAAAAGAAAGGGAAGAAAGGCAGTCTGTAGAAAAGAAAGGAAGAAAAGAAAGGGAAAGGCAGTCTTAGAAAAAGAAAGGAAGAGAGAAAATTAGAAAAAGAAAGAGAAGAGAGAGAATTTCAGTTAAGAATGAGAGAATTAGAAATCAAAGAGAGAGCAAATCAGTTTTTAACATAGAATATTCAAAAATTTGATGTCACTAAAAATATAGGCACCACCTTTCCAAGAAAAAGAAGTTGACTTCATTTTGAAAACGGTTGCAAAATTTAAAATGCCAAGAGAGCACTGGACATACTTTTATCTTAACTGAAATCAGTGAAAAATCTATACACAAACTTACTGTTGAACAAAGCTCTAATTATGTAAATGTAAAAGAATGAAAGTTATGAGTTAGTACCAGAGGCCTACAGGCAAAAATTCAGAAATTCTAAGAAAGAAATTGGTCAAACCCATGTCGAATTTGCAAGAGAAAAGAACAACTTTTTGATCGGTGGTGTCTATCTAAGAAAATAAATAAAAATCATGAAAAGCTCAGACAGCTCATGTTAGTTGAAGAGTTTAAACGTTGCATTCACTCTGATGTTAAATCTTTCTTAGATGAAAAACAGGTAGAAACTTTAGAAGAAGCTGCCCGTCTAGCTGATGATTATTCTTTAACCCACAAAGTCTCATTTATAAATAAAGGGAAGTCCACACCCTCACATTTTAATTCCAAGTTCAGTTCTGGTAATTTATCTGGCTTATCTAGTCTGTCAAATACTCCCAAACCAAAGTCATCTGATGAACATAAAGGTCATAGTCCCTTATCTCGTCCTACATGCAATTATTGCAAGAAAACTGGACATCTTATTTCTGATTGCTTTACCTTAAAAAGGAGGCAACAGCAACGTGATGAGGCCAAACCCACAGGTCTTACCACTTCAAGGTCTGAACCTCAGTCTTGTATTGATAACAATGCAATTTTGAAGGTCAAGGAACCCAAGTCTGATTCTATAATGGAGATTTATGAACCATTCCTTTCGGAAGGTTCCGTGTCACTTATCGGTGATACTCGCCCACCTACTCCTATTAAAATTTTAAGAGACACAGGAGCTTCTCAATCTCTTATTTTAGCAGATACACTGCCTTTTTCTGAGAAGTCTTCTTCTGGATCTAGTGTCCTTATTCAGGGTGTAGAGTGTGGTTTTTCTAATGTCCCTCTCCATAATATTTATTTGTCCTCAGATTTGGTAACTGGTATAAGATCTTTCTTACCCTTTAAAGGTGTTCATTTATTGCTAGGTAATGACTTAGCTGGAGATAAGGTAGTGGTTAATCCACTTGTAACTGACACTCCTTGTGTGGATCAGATCCCTGACCCCATTGAGCAGGAAATTCCTGACCTTTACCCTTCATGTGCAGTTACTCGAGCTATGGCTAAGAAGGCCATTCAAGAAGATAATTATTGTTCAGATATTGACTTAGCTGATACTTTTATAGGTCAGTCTTTTGATAATGAAAAGAATTTTTCTCTTACTCCTACTCTGCCTGAAACTCAGACAGATTTTTCAATATCTGATTTTTCTACACCAAGATCTAAAGATCAAGGTCATGACACGCTGTCAAGGTCACAGCTTATCCAGGAACAGCAAAATGATCCTGAGATTTCAGTCCTTTATCAAAAGGCTTTTAGTGAAGATGAAGCTTTACAAGTCCCTGTTTGTTATTATGAAAAGAATGGGATTTTAATGAGAAAATGGCGACCGCCCAATGTCCCTGCTGAAGAGGAGTGGACAGTTAATCACCAAATTGTGGTCCCTAAATCATATCGCCATGAAATATTAAGCTTGGCTCATGAAACACACACGGCAGGTCATTTAGGTGTTAATAAAACCTACCATAAAATTCTCAATCATTTTTATTGGCCTGGCCTTAAAGCAGATGTATCTAGGTACTGTAAATCTTGTCATACTTGTCAGATGGTTGGAAAACCTAATCAGACAATACCAAAAGCTCATTTACAGCCTATTCCTGTATTTGATGAACCTTTTAGTAGAGTTATTATTGACTGTGTAGGTCCATTACCAAAAACTAAATCAGGTTCTCAGTACTTATTAACTATCATGTGTGCTTCTACGCGCTTCCCTGAAGCTATTCCTTTAAGAAATATTAAAGCCAAAACTATTGTCAAGGCTCTTGTGAAATTTTTCACATTTGTTGGTTTACCTAAATCAGTACAGTCTGATCAAGGGTCAAATTTTATGTCTGGTATTTTCCAGCAGGTCATGCATGAGTTAGGAATTACTCAATATAGGTCTTCAGCCTATCACCCTGAAAGTCAAGGTGCATTAGAAAGATTTCACCAGACTCTGAAAAATATGATTAGGTCATATTGTTTTGACACTGAAAAAGACTGGGATGAAGGCATCCATTTATTGTTATTTGCTGTAAGAGAATCTGTTCAAGAATCTCTTGGTTTCAGCCCTTTTGAATTAGTATTTGGTCACACTGTCAGAGGACCCTTAAAACTTCTAAAAGAGAAATTCCTGTCTGAAGATGACATATCTTTAAATTTGCTTCAGTATGTATCGGATTTTCGAAATAGGTTGACTAATGCATGTGAGTTAGCTAGGGTTAATTTAAAATCAACACAAAGCAAAATGAAATCAAGGTATGATGAGAATGCTCAGGAAAGAAGTTTTAACCCTGGTGATAGAGTACTTGCTCTTTTACCTATACCTGGAAAACCATTACAGGCAAGATACTTTGGTCCTTATACTATTGAGAAGAAAGTCAGTGACCTTAATTATATTATTAATACTCCTGGGAGGCGAAAGCAAAAACAAATGTGTCACATAAATATGTTAAAAGAATATTTTGACAGAGATAGCGAAATTAGTAAACCTATATCTTTTGTAAACTCTGTTCCACAAAATCAATGTTCAGTTGAATCTAATAGTTATGAAAATTTTGAAAAGTCTGATCCTGGTTCAGCAAAGCTTGAAAACTCTGATATTCTGAAAAATCTGGATGAAAAACTTGCTCACTTAGAACCGTCGAAACGAGATGAACTGAAACAGCTTATTTATGAATATGAACACTTATTTCCTGATATTCCCACACGGACTGACAAAATACATCATGACGTCATTCTTGAAAACTCTGAACCAATAAAACAACATCCATATAGAACAAATCCTGTAAAACAAAAATACTTAAGACAAGAAGTTCAGTATTTATTGGATAATGATTTTATTGAACCAAGTCAAAGCAGTTACAGCTCTCCATGTATTCTTGTACCAAAATCAAATGGAACATATAGAATGTGTACAGATTATCGTAAAGTGAACTCTGTAACAAAAACTGATTCATTTCCTATACCAAGAATTGATGACTGTATTGACAAAATTGGAAAAGCAAAGTATGTAACAAAGTTTGATCTTCTAAAAGGATTCTGGCAAGTTCCACTTACTGATAGAGCTAAAGAAATATCAGCCTTTGTAACACCAGACGGCTTATATCAATATAAAGTCATGCCATTTGGTATGAAAAACTCACCA